AGTAGGTTGCAAATATAATTAGAGCCATTCGTGAACGGCTCAATTAGTGTCAGTAAAAACTCGTTGAAACTTCGATTTCGTTAATTTTATTTTTATATTTTTGTATCCTAATCATCGAGACTTGTTAAATTTTTGAATAAATAAAAGCCGCAAACATTTTAAAGTTCGGCTCAATTAGTTGGCGTCGTTTAAGATTTTTATTTTATTATAATTAAATAAATATAATAAAAATATAAAGATATATGTTAATTACATATATATTAAAAAATATAGAATGTAAATAATAGTATAACTATATATAGAAATTTATATAATAGTAGTAGTATAGATATATTATATTTTGTAAATATTACATTTTTTTTAGATATGTTTATATATATTGCAATATAATCGTAAATCAAACTTATAATTATAAACTCTTAGTCTCTCATAGCAATTGTAGAATTATATAAATTTAACTCATCAAAGCTCAGTGAACATGCTCCGACGCTATGAGTATAGGCCCTAATCAACTATGACTCAAGCTCGGTCTTCAAATTTTATATTGATTTGAGCTCAAGTTCAAACTCATTAAAATCTTAATAAATAAACTCAAACATATTAAAGCTCAACTCAGCTTGTTTACCGCTAGTTACAGGATACGAAGGATATTATTAAAATGGAAAAAAATGTGACATCCTTGACACCACTCAAAGGCATGCTTTATATACAAAGAATAGATATAGAAAAGGAAGAAAAAAAATTCCCAAGGTTGATTTTAACAAATAGTCCTATGATTTTTTAATTTATCAATTTAAGTTCTAATCTTTTAATTGATTTTAATCTAAATATCATTTATCTATTTTTGTTAGTAGAACGGATGCAAAAAATAGTATTTTAGTTATTAAACCAATGTAGATATCTATATAAAATTTCTAAATACTATTTTTTTTATTGAGTTTAATGATAAATACTCATTTTCCATTTGTATTTATTAACGAAAATAGACAAATTAGTTTAAAATTAAAAGTTTAATATTCAATTGACAAAATAAAACTCAAGATAATCGATGCATCAACTACTAGGGTCTTTTTTGTAATTGGTGATAAGATTGTTAAATTATTTTTATAAAAAATCTTAAAAAACATAATTTATATATTAAAAAAAATCTAAAACAAATATAAATATCTATAATTATCCTGTGCATAGCACGGGTGATAGACTAGTATTATATAAGGAAAATGAGATTTCTAACCCACAAGTCTTGTGAGAGCTTTAATATCCTAATCTTAATTTTCTAATTTTTTGATTTAAAAAAAAAAAACCTCAGCATTTATTGACTTTTCCTAACCCACAAACCTTTTTGATTTCTCTCATATGTACTGCTACACCATTTTCAACTTCTTCCATACAACATGGTTAGTGATGTAATTGTTAAATTATTTTTATAAAAAATCTAAAAAAATAATTTGTATATTAAAAAAATATCTAAAACAAATATAAATTCTTATTAAATCTATCTATCCATCTATATATTATATAAGTAAAAAGAGAAGAAGGAGAACGTAGAGCAAGTAAATAAGGAAAACACGCAAAAGGTTGTAGAATTAAATAAAATACACATCTTTTAAAGAGGATATGTGAGTAATTTGCTCAAAAGTTAATTGAGCAATAAAAAATTGATAATAAAAATTAAGTTTGAAAAAAATCACTAAAGATTTTCTAAATCGTTAAATCGTATCCAAAAACAAAGTGGTGTTGATACATCACGGATTTACGTCAAATTTAGACCATGATGGGAGTAATTGATTTCATCTATTATACAAATTTAGAGTAAGTTTGAGAAATTATAATAATAGTTAAAAAGTAACTAAAAAAATTAAAAAATTAAAGATTTATTTTCTCTCTATTATATATATTGACGTGGCTAAGTCCATAGAGGCCATAGCCCACTATAAACAACCCAAGCCCATCACTTGGAGCCCAGCACACAACCCAGCTGGGGGAGTCTAGAACAGCTGGAATACGCAATGACATAAAGAGCCAATGACATTCAGACACATGGCAGGTGAAGGACGAGCCACATCAGCAGACAAAGATCTGCAAAGTTTTTGCCACTGCACATCACCATTAATGTAGCCCATCACATCATTTGTTACGACAACACCTCTCCGTTAGAACAGGACCCCCTTACCCTGAACAAGGTAAGCTACAGCATAGACTTTCGGCGAGGAGGTCAGGTCGAAAGGGGTAGAGAAATGATTACCAAAGGATATAAGCAAACATTGAAGACAAGAAGAAGGTTAAGCTTTTCTATCTCTAATCTCTCCCTCTGCACTCTACTTCTCTTCCTAACTTGCTCGTCGGAGGGTTCACTGGGGGAGTACCCAGTTCCCCGTTGAACTTGTTTGCAGGTTATCCGGTGGGCTTGATCATTTGGATGTGGGCTTGAGGAGCTTGGACCAGTCCGATCCATTCACTGGAACAAACTGTATCATCAGTTGGCGCCGTCTGTGGGAAAGACTTTGCTCCGTGCGCCAGTTCTGCTCATTGTCGCCGGAGACCCTATCCCAACAACCTATTCCTCCTACCCATCAAAGTGAATGGTCACGACTCGATCCATGGCTTCTCACAATAATGTTGTCGGCCATCAGGCCGACCCTCCCAATCCAAACAACCCACCACAGTATTTTATCGAGCTTACCAACAGCACTAATCGCATGGCGGAGCAAAACCAGGCCTTGATAAATGCTTTACTTCAAAGAAACCTTCCGATGCCTCCTCCACCACCTTTAGATATTCCACCCAACCAAGAAAGAGCCCCGAGCCATACTGCTCCGCAACCCTATCCACCCAACTTGGAAGGTTTGCAACCTCCTCCCCCATATATAAATCTACCACCTC